GGGAGTATAGTGATTATAGCAATCCCCAGAGTGTAGTTTCTCCAATCCCCCAAACATGAGCCGAAACTTCATGAAGGTACAAGATGATCTGACTCCAATGAGCGTTTATTACTCCTTATATACAAGTTTTCAGGTCAGAGGCACACCCCCTGGACCTGGTGGTAAACTGTGACAAAAGGGACACAAACCAATGGGAACACTAATTAACATGATAACACTCTCACATACACAATGAAATCCCTCCTCTCCATCCTGGAGATAATTGGCTTAAGGCACTGCAGTAAACTCAATTATCTCCAGGTACAGAAAATATCTACATTTAACACTAACAGCAAAATACGTAAAAGTACATAAAAATACATAATTCTTATTTTATTACACAGAACCCCCACATTTAACCTATCCCCAGATAGCTCGGATCTGAGCGCCCAATCTAGGTGAACAGCGCTCAGATCCCATGAACAGAGTAGATTTTCCATGGGGTAAAGCATAGCAAGGGCTGTTGAGAAACCAAGGAGGGACAAAAGCAGTCAGTTCCAACTGGTTTGGCAGTGTGCCTGGGACAACGCCCTGCTGGAGAACAATAGACAGGAAACGGGGGTGGGGAAGAAACACACCTTCCCATGGATTCCAATGAGAAGAAACTGTCTTTAGATGCCAATAAGCCCCAAATAGTCTTTTTAAATGGCACTACACCCCAGGGCCATAGTCATGAGGAAGGAGGCTGGCAATCAGGCTCCTCCAAAAGCCGGGGGCAAAGGGCAGCTTGTCACCTAACAATCCAGGGACAAAAGGCATTTCGTCACAGTCGGCATCCTTTATATCCACATCAGGGATTGCACCGGGATCCTTCATATCCACATCAGGAATTAAGCCGGGATCCTTTATATTCACATCAGGGATTATGCCAGGATACTTCATATGCAGATCAGGAATCTTTTAAATTCTGTGGGCGTGCAATGTTAGTATGTATTTTGGGGTTCCATTGTGCGTGCAATGTCTATATATATATATTGGGTTTCTGTATGTAACGGACCGTTTTGCTCACCAGA